ACTGCATCATTCCACACACCACCACACACACACCAACGCTACCGATCCTTCAGGAATAAGCACTACATTACTATATCTCTTCACACTCGAACACAACCCATAAGCATTACCTGTGTCTACACCTTCTTCCTCATTGCTCCTCCTTCTTCCACACCGTACGCAGTGCATCACAAATCACCATGCCCAACTCATCCAGGAGACCAGAACCCCGGATTATCACCTACAGTCGGCCGCCTCGTGCCAGCACCGAGTCCTGCGACTCATACGAGACATATCACTCGGAAAGCACCGCGCCAACGTCCATATACGCCAGCACCCAGGCCTCAGTCAAAGAAGCTGGCCCTGTTGCCAAATTTCAGCCAGTCTACGAAGAAGACATCTCGCCCTCAACCAGGTGCTGTCCTGGGGCCTCTGTCGACACTTTTGACTCGAGTCTCGCCTCCGAAAACGACTGTTGCCGGGAGATCGACCTGGAGAGCTACGATGACAATGAAAGCCTCCCCTTGCCCGTCTACCATCAACGGCATCTGGTCGATTCCGGTATTCCACCGTCCAACGCCCAGGACTTTGCCAAACTCTTCCCTTCCATGGAAAGGCTTTCCATAAGGCATGACGATTCTACGCCAGACGGCAATCTCAACCTCCGGGTCGATACCGTCGTGCCCGGTCGTCGCCGCCTCGCCATTCAGCTCTTCCATCTACGGATGCACGACCTGGCTAGGAGAGACTTCTCTTTGAGGCGATACTGCCGCGACTCGGGTCGTGAGATCTGCAGCTGTAAGCGGCAGTACGATCTTCCGTCTCATGAAGAGCGTCATGGCATGCAGCACTCCATGACCAATGCCTTAAAGGCTCTTGGCGGTCACCGAACGCTTTCGCATGCCAGTGCCGGCATCGCCTCTTCAGCCGGCAATGTGAGGCCACAGTCTGGTACCATGTCGCATGACGAGAGCCCAGTTCTTCACCCTTCCAATCACTCCCTGTCCTTCCAACACCAACCACAAAACGAACCCGTACCCACCAACACCATGAAGCTCGAATTCTCCAACTATGCCCGCGTCAACATATCTAGACGAGGTCACAGCGGTTCCAAGCGCTACGAATTCGAGTGGTGGGGACACAGCTATCAGTGGCGCCGCGTGCTCGACAGGAATCTCGGCGTCGTCTCCTTCCACCTCATTCAGGATGGCGTCTCGAACCGGCCTGTCGCTCACATTGTCCCCGAAACTCGTTCGCCAAACCAGGTTGAAAGCGACGAGCGCGCCGGCGACTGGGTACCTCCATGTCACATGTGGATCAGCGACCAAAGCATCATTGACGCCGCGACCAACGTCGCCGATGTCGTCGTGGCCACAGGTCTCATTGCTCTTGTCGATGACTGCATCAAGCAGCGCTGGCAGACGGGGAAGCATCAGCACCGCTTCAACCTGGGAGCGGCTTCCACTGCCGATCATGGCCCAAAAGCATTTGTTCAGTCTCTCTTCCATCGCCGCTCATCTGAGCCGCACGCCCAACCAAAGCGCCACAGGAGAACTGTGTCTATCTACTGAACTGTTCCTCCCTGTTCGAAGGCATCATCAATCAACAGACCAGTGTTTTGATTGGGATTTCATTATGTTTGTTTGCATATTTTCAATCATGTCAGTTAGGAAGCGTGCAAGACGCTGATGTGTAATATATCAAACCTATAGCCACTGACAAGGACGGCGTCTTTGGAGGTATGCTTGTGGCGTTTGGGGAAGGGATTTCTGGTCACGAAGCTCTACAGGATCTGAGCCAGAAGCAATGCAGGGGAACTATGTCTGCAACGAAATTAATGATATGATGAGTGATGCCAGAATGAAGTCGCTTCCTATTTTCATCATTCTTCCACAGCAGCAGAGGGGCGTCAAACAGAATAACCCACAACGTTGCAGTACCCGAGTACCAAACCAATCATTGACATTCTGTGAACAATGACCCTGACCGTGTCGTGCAAACGCCGAAATACACGCCTGGAGCCGGAAACCTGCCAGCGCCCTACGTGGCAGCCCCGCCGAGCTACCGGCTTTGAAAAGTAACTGGTCGCTAGACCACATCGCCAAAGACGCCCTTCCGACCCCCGAACCAACCGCCGAAATCAAGCTTCATCAGCAGCCTCTCGACGCCGCCGACGCGGCGTGGCGTGTACTCCCCCTCCTCGGCACCCCAGACGCCGTCCATTTCATCCGTGGCAGACCCGCCGTCGAGGCCCTCGGCAAAACTAGAGTCGGCCTCGAGGATCCTCAGCGCAGCAATGACGTCCTCGATGCCTGCCTTGACGCGCCCCTCGACGTCGCGGAGGGCGACGGCGACGCTCCTCTCCTCCGTCTCGAGGTCGACAAAGGCGTCGACGACGCCGGCGTCGGCTTCGAGATCCATGGACGTCCAGATGCTGTGCAGGCGGTGGACGAGGGCGACGAGGTGGTCCGTGCTGACGAGGAGCGTGAGGAGGCGTCCGTGTACGGCGTCGACGTGAGGAGCAGGCGGTGGGAGAGGGCGAGGAGTAGCGTGCGTGGGCTGTCGCGAGAGATTGCGGGTCGTGTTGCTGTTGCTGTTGCTGCTTCTGCTGCTGGGAAGGGGACGACGGCTGGAAGCCGTGAAGGCATGAGCCAAATATCCTCTCTTCGTCGTTGTCGTTTCCGGGTGCCGCGGCTCGGCTTGCTGATGTAGCGTGGCCTGCGCTGATGTCGCCATGCTTTGCGTCGCTCGACGTGAGCCATTGGTGGAACCCGTCCCAGAGCCCGGCGACGACCTCGGTCTGGAGATAGGCCTCTGTTTCTGCGAGGAAGAATATGGCGGCGCTCGCTGTGACCCAGGTGCTGCGCATGGAATTGGAACGTGCCGTGTGGCGCTCACGAAGCAATATCACTTTTGATCGACCACCGCGGGTACTGCCACCAGGCGGTCCGGGTGGTGCAGGATGATGCCGTCGAAGGCTTGTGATCTTCCACAAGTCCGTAAGGCGTATATGCGCCCGGCGATAGACAGGAGATATGAATTGATGGTTGAGTAGATCTGTAGGTCGGACGGAGCCAGGAAAAATGTCGAGGGGCGAAGAGATCTGCATCGTCAGCACCACAGGCACTGAGAAGAGGAGGTTGCGGAAAGGGGTTGTTGCGAGCGACCGTGACCTCTGCGGTGCGGTGACCGATC